AAGATGGCTCTGAGGTGGCCGCCGTGCCTGCCGAGAACGCACAGCCGGAAATTGTTGGAGGAATTCCGCCGCCTCACCTCTTCCTCATCCGGTCGGCCTCGGAGGACTCGAGATGACCCCGAGATGGTCCAACCCCCTGGCCAGGCCCATGACGACTGCCAGCCCCGCAAGCGCCTCGGGAAGGCCAAGTTGGTTCCGCAGACACAATGGGGGGGACAAAAAGGTACTGATACCGCTACTCTCCACTGACCTGTTCCCGGGTGCCTCCTGATCAAGATATCGAGGCGAATCCAGCCGTGGCGACGAGGGATGGGCAGCGATATCGGCATCTCCTCCTCCCCTGGCAGAAGACAGCTCTCCGCACGATCCCTCCCACGACAGCCCAGCGGGCCCTGGACAAGCCAACGGCGCAAGCCTCGGAGAACTCGCCAGGCGGCACCTGCTCGTCCGCCTCTTCGTGCCCGACTGCGCCAAGCGGGCCACGGCGGGCTGGAAACAACGACCCCCCTATCCCCACTGGCGTGGCCCCGGGAACCACTGGCCGCCTTACCCCCCTAGGATGGGAATACGGAGGCTGCTCCCTTCGGGTTTCGAAGGGCCTATCCCCACCGGGGTTGTCTGGACGCCCGAACAGGGTACGGGCAAGAATGGGCACTCGATGCCCGACAAGCAACGCTGTCCAAGAGCCGGCAGCGGCCGCTGTTGGCTGTCGGGCAGGCGGCCTTCTGTCTCCAACGGACAGCGTCCGCGGCGACACCGACAACGAGTCCTGCTCAAAATGGTCAGGAAGGAAATGCTTTCGGTCTTCGTGCCCATTCTTTCCGTACCGATTTCGGTCCTCCCAAGGGCGGTGGTGGGATGGTGGCTGAGATACCCTGACCCACGGAGCATGGGGATGACCAACGGTCAACGAGCAACTAATGTGATCCCTTATCGGTTGCCGAGCGGACTTCGGGTGACCTGCCCGACAAGCCTAGCGTGGACAATGCAAAACTCTCGACGAGCGCGCGTGGTCCACACTAGAAAAGTCGCTCTGTGAGCCTGGGCATTGAAGTGAACCCTTAATTGTGGCCGAGCGGATTTCGGATGACCCGCCCGACTTGTCCGAAGTGGACAGCGCAGAACTCTCCAATCGCGCGGGCGAACCCGCGTGGAGACCCCGCTGGCTTGAAGACTAAACTGGGCCCTTAACGGTGGACGAGCGGATTCCGGATGACCCGCCCGACCTGGTTCGCGCGGACACAACAGAACTCTCCACGCGCGTGCGCCTGCCCGCGCGGAGACCTCTGGACAGTGCGGGCGCGGCCGCAAGAAACCCTCGCAAGAAACCCAGCCCTGAAACCCGCAGGCGCGGGATGCAAGTGGGGGAAGCCTGGAGCACCCTGAACGCTGCAGCTCCGTCAACGGCTGCTGAAAGTCACCGCGCAGCGAGAGAAGCGAAGAAACCCAAAAGCATATGGTTTCTTGATGGGCGCCCCCACTGTATGGCTTGGAAACTGAAGTGAGCCCTTAGCAATGGTCGAGCGGATTTCAGGTGACCCGCCCCGCCCGATCAGTCGAGTGTGAACAATACAGAACTCTCCGCACGCGCACACGTAGCCGCGTCCAGCGGGGCCCGACCGATCGCGCAAGGCGCGTGCCCGTTGGCGCAGTCGACCCCTCGCCGGCCCCATGCCGGAGGCGCGGCCAGTGGTGGCCCCGGCCCGAGGCGCCCCCGGGCTCCCCACGACGCTGTGGAGACCGCCGCACGGGGGCCCTCGAGGGCCCCGCGCGGTGGTGTCGTCGTCGTCGTCGTCGTCGTGGTCGTCGTCGTCCTCGTCGTCGCCGTCGTCGTGGTCGTCGTCGTCGTCGTGGTCGTCATCGTCGTCGTCGTCGTCGTCATCATGGTCGTCCTCGTAGTCGTCGTCGTGGTCCTCGTGGTCGTCGTCGTCGACGTCGTCGTGGTCGTCGTGGTCTTCGTCGTCGCCCTCGTCATCGTCATCGTCGTGGTGCTCGTCGTCCTCGTCCTCGTCGTCGTCATCGTCGACGTCTGTTGCCCTCGTCGTCCTCGTTCTCGTCCTCGTTGTCGTTCGTCGTGGTTGTCGTCTGCGTCGTTGTCGTGTCGTCGTTGTCGTGGTCGACGTTGTCGTGGTCGTCGTCGCGGTCGTCGTAGTCATCGTCCCCGTCCGCATCCTCGTCGTCGTCGTCGTCGCCGTCGTCGTGGTCCTCCACGCGGTCGTTCGTCGTCGTCGTCGTGGTCGTCGTCGTCGTCACCGTCGACGTGATTGTCCTCGTCCTCGTCCTCGTCGTCGTCGTCGCCGTCGTCGTCGTCGTCGTCGTCGTCGTCGTCCTCCGTGTCGTCGTCGTCCTCGTCGTCGTCCTAGTCATCGTCGTCCTCACCGTCCTCGTCTTCGTCGTCGTCGTCGCCCTCGTCCTCGACATTGTCGTCGTCGTCGCCGTCGTCGTCGTCGTGGTCGTCGTCGTCATCGTCCTCTTCATTGTCGTCGTCGTCGCCGTCATCGTCGTCCTCCTCGTCGTCGTTCGTCCTCGACGTCTTTGTGGTCGTCCTCGTCGTCGTAGTCGTCGTCGTGGTCGTCGTGGTCGTCGTCGTCTTCGTCGTCGCCCTCGTCATCGTCGTTTTTCGTCGTGGTCGTCGTCAGGGTGGTGGTCGTCGTCGTCGTCGACGGCGTCGTCGTCCTTGTCGTCGTTCATGGTCGTCAAGTCGTCGTCGTCATCGTCGTCGTCCTCGCCGTCGTCGACCATCATCGTCATCGTCGTCGTCGTCCTCGTCATCGTCGTCGTCATTCGTCGTCGTCGTGGTTGTCGTCGTCGTCCTCCTCGTCGACGTCGTGGTCGTCGTCGCCGTCGCGGTCGTCGTCGCCGTCGTGGTCGTCGTCGTGGTCGTCGTCCTCGTCGTCGTCCTCGTCCTCGTTGTCGTCGATCGTCGTCGCCGTCGTCTGGTCGTCGTCGTCGTGTCGTCGTTGTCGTCCTCCTCGTAGTGGTCGACGTCGTCGTGGTCGTCCTAGGCGTCGTCTTCCTCGTCCTCGTCGTTGTAGTCGTCGTCGCCCTCGTCGTCGTCGTCCTCCCCGTCGTCATTCGTCGTCGTCGTGGTCGTGGTCGTCGTCGCCAGGGTCCTCCCCATCGTCACTCACTGTCGTTCGTCGTCGTCGTCGTCCTCGTCGTCGTCGTCGTGGTCGTCCTCGTCCTCGTCGTCGTCGTCGTCGACGTCGCCGTCGGAACGTCGTCCTATCCGTCGTCGTTCGTCGTCGTCGTCGTCGTCGTCCTCGTCGTCATCGTCGTCGTCGACGTCGCCATCGTCGTCCTCGTCCTGGTCGTCGTCGTCGTCATCGTCGTCGTCGTCCTCGTCGTCGTCGCTACCTTCGTCGTCGTCGTGGTCGTCGTCGTTCGTCGTAGTTGTCTTCATCCTCGTCCTCTGTCGTCGTCGTCGTCATCCTCCTCGTCGTCGTCCTCGTCGTCGTCGTCCGTCGTCGTCGTCGTCGTGGTCGTCGCCGTCGTTCTCGTCGTCGTCGACGACGTCGTCATCGTCGTCCTCGTCCTCGTGGTCATTCGTCGTCGTCGCCGTCCTCGTCGTCGTTCTCCTCTTCGTCGTCGTCGTCCTCGTCGTCGCCTTCGTCGCCGTCGTCGTCGTCGTCGTTCGTCCTCGTCGTCCTCGTCGTCATCCTCGTCGTCGTCGCCGTCGTCGTCGGCCTTGGAGCCGTCGTTCGGCGACGTCCTCATCAACGTCGGCCTCGTCCTTGTCGGCCTCGTCCTCGTCAGAGACGTCCTCGCTTTCGTCGTCATCGTCGTCGTCCTCGTCCTCGTCGTCGTCGTCCTTCCCGTCGTCGTCGTCGTCCTTGTCGTGCTGGTCGTCGTCGTCGTCGTCCTTATGCTCGTCGTCGTCGTCGTCCTCGTCTTCGTCGACGCCGTCGGTGTCGTCCTTCACGTCGTCGTTCGTGGTCATCGTCCCCGTCGTCGTGGGCCGTCGTCGTCGGCGTTGCCGTCGTCGTCGTGCGTCGTAGTCGTCCTCGTAGCCGTCGTCCTCGTCGTCCTCGTCAGAGTCGCCCTCGTCCAAATCCTCGTCGGCGTCCTCGTCGCCGCCGTCGTCCTCGTCGTCGTCGTCCTTGTCGTCGTCGACGTCGTCGACGTCGTCATCCTCGCCGTGATTCGTCGTCGTCGCCAGCGTCCTCTTCGTCGTCGTCGTCGTCCTCGTTGTCGTCGCCGTCGCCGTCGTCGTCGCCCTCGTCCTCGTCCTCGTCATCCTCGTCGTCGTCCTCGTCGTCGTTGTCGTCGCCGTCGTCGTCGTCGTTCGTCGTCGTCGTCCTCGCCGTCGTCGTCGTCCTCGTCTTCGTCGTCGACGTCCTCGCCCTCGTCGTCGGCCTCGTCGCCGTCGCCCTCGTCGTCGTCGTCGCCCTCGTCGTCGTCCTCCCCGTCGTCACCGTCGTCGTCGTCGTCGTGGTCGTCCTCGTCCTCGTCGGCGGCGTCCTCGTCCTCGTCGTCGTCGTTGTCGTCCTCGTCCCCGTCGTCCTCGTCCTCGTCGTCGTCGTCGTCGCTGTCGTCGTCCTCCCCGTCGTCGTTCGTCGGCGTCGTCGTGGTTGTCCTCATCGTCGTCGTCGTCCTCGTCCTCGTCCTCGGCGTCCTCGTCCTCGTCCTCATCGCCGTCAATGTCGCCCTCCCCGTCGTCGTTCGTCGTCATCGTCCTCGTCGTCCTCGTCGTCGTCGTCGTCCTGGTCGGCGTAGTCGTCGTCGCCGCCGTCGTCGTCCTCCCCGTCGTCGTTCGTCGTCGTCGTCGTCGTGGTCGTCCTCGTCCTCGTCCTGGTCGTCGTCGCCCTCGTCGTCGTCGTCGCCCTCGTCGTCGTCGTCGTCGTCGACGTCGCCCTCGTCGACGTCGTCCTCGTCGTCGTCGTCGCCCTCGTCGTCGTCGTCGACGTTGCCGTCGTCGTCGTGGTCGTCGTCGTCGTCGTGGTGATCGTCGTCGTCCTCGTCGTCGTCGTCGTCGCTCTGCGGCCGTCCGCCCGAGGCGCCTCCCCTCGGGCTCCTCGGGCGCCTGGGGGCCCTTCGGGCGTCCCTCTCGTCGCAGTCCTTGGCGTGCCCGCGTCTCTCGCGGTTCCTGCGGGCAGTGGGCCATCCCTCCCTCCCTCCCTCGCGCTCGCTTTCTGTCGCTCTGCCTTTTCTATCATATACATATACATATATAAAGAATTGTACTCATAGTTGTCGGAACTGGTGTGCTCTCGCTGTCTATACATGTGAAGATCTCTCTCTCTCTCTCTCTCTCTCTCTCTTTCCCCACTCTCTGTCACCGCGTGCCCTCCTGTCCCTCCCTCCGGCGAGCCCTCCTGCCCCTCCGACGAGCCCTTCTCCCCGCCCAACGGGGCAGCTTGCACGCAGAGCCTCGGTCCTAAAGACCCGGCATGTGCAGGTTACGCCTCCGCACGGACCACGGACCGCGGGTCATCGCACACCCGAAGAAGCGCACTCGATGAGGTGCACCCTATAGAATGCACGTTTCCCCAACCCTCCTGTGAGCTGGGTGCTCGTCATCAAATCCGAGACGCAGCGTGTCTCCTCATTATTTCCCTCCTCTTCCCGCCCCCTCTTCCTCCTCCCTCCACTTCCCCCTCTCCTCTTCCTCGGCACACCCCCTGCACATCACGAATACCCATAAGGAGCTTTACCAATCCCCACTCCTCATCCTCTTCCCCCTGTTGCCTCAGCCTTCACCGTGTCTGTTCTGGCACGCTCCTCACACACTGCGCGGCCCCCTTGGGGTATCCACCGAAGGCCCTACTGGTCGCGCCCACACACTGACTCGGATCCCTGCTGGCACACCCCTCACACGGGTTGTGGCCCCACAAGGAGCTCCACCGAAGGCCCCAGTGACTGCGCCCGCATGGTGACTCGGGATATGTTGCTCCCATCGTACTTCTGGACCACATCCCAGAAATAATTTCGGGCACCCAGAAGAGTGTCGAAAGATTGTAGAGGCAGTGTCGGGCGATTGTGTCCCCTCAAATTCTTCGTGGCCCCGAAGGGAGCTCCACCGAGGGCTCCAGTGCTTGATGGGCCTGTTTCCACCACCACCACCACCACCACCATGAATTGGGGGGGGGGGAAGGAGGAGGAGGACGATGAGGAGGACGAGGAGGAGGAGGAGGTGGAGGAGGAGCAGGACCACCTGCCCCTCCAACTTGTGGTAATGGCGGGGGAAAACAGGCCCGTCCAGTGCGTGCGTCCGCCTGATGGCGCGGGCCCCTGCGCTGGCGCACCCCTCGCGCGCTCCGCGGCCCCAGGGAGGGAACAACCGCCGATGGCACCAGCAGTGGCTGCGCCCGCCTGCCTGGCTGAAGGGGCCCAAGGACACACAAATAAACACACACACACACAAATAACAGGATTCCCCATGTTTTCATACGTTTTCGGGGCTTTCGTCTTCCCCCCCCTTTTCCCATATTTTCCCACATTTCCCTGGGAATCGACGATTCATTGTGTCTGTGTGTTTCTTCCCCTCCTGACTGGTGACTGGGGACCGCCTCCGGCACACCCTTCCAGAGGCTTCGGGGCCCCACGAGGAGCCCCCACGAAGAGGCCAGCGGCCGAGCCCACGCCTGGGCTCGCCTGCATCCCCGTGCCCCAGACCCCCGACGTCGTGATTTTTTTCACAGCGTCAAACCCCGCAGGTCTGGACCCCTTCCCCAGGACTGGTGCTTCATCCCGAGTCGTTCTCTGACGGTCCCGAGGCCCGGTGAATCGGGGGCGCGCCAACATGGACTAGCGATCCATGGATTTGGCGCGCGGTCGCCGAATCCGTGGATCGGGGGAGGTGCCCTCCCCAAAATGCGGCCGGCTCCGTCTCGCTTGGCGGAAATCCGCGATGTCCCGTGAGAGCGGGGCCCGTCGCTCCTCCACGCCCCCTCGATCCATGCTTGCGGTCGCCCGAGTGAGGGCCCTCGGACGCCGACAATGATCCCAAACCTCCCGTCGTGACTTGTCACGACGCGAGGGGGTCTGGGTCCCTCCCTCCACCCCCTCCCTCCTCCGTCTCGTTCGAACCCTAGAATCCTACGGTCACTCCTTCCTCCCTCTCTTCTACCATCCCCCCGCCGACCCAGCGCCGTCCGCCCCCCTCCCCTCCTTCCCTTCTCCCCCGCTTTCCTCCGACCGCCCCTCTGGTGAGCGCCCCTTCCTGGATTCGACAAGCGCGTTCCACTACTCACAAAGTGGCTACTCGCAAATAGCCTGAATCCGCCGCGGGGGATTTACGCGCCATTACATCGAGGAAGACATGCTTTTTGTTCCTGACGTTTGCGAGTAGGCACTTCGCGAGTAGTGGCACGCGCTCGGTGATGGATGAAGAGGACGCGGCTTTGGACGCCCGAAGTAGGTACGGGAAAAGTGGGCACGATGCCCAACAGCAAGCGCTGCCCAAAACCGACAGTGGCCATCGTTGGCCAGGCCACTGTTCTTCCAGTGGACAGCGCCCGCGGCGACAGCGACAGCGAGTCCTGTTCAAGATGGCCAAGAAATGCTGGACTCGCGGCGCTAATTACGGGGACTTTGTGGGGGGGAGGGGAGGGGAGGGAAGGGACCACAACGCAACGCCACCGCCCCCCGCCGTGCCAGACTGATGCTGGACGCACTACGGCAGTGCCGGGGACGCACCGGCAGGGGGGGGGGGCATTACGGCATGGGGGGGGGGGCAGGGGGGGGGGCGCATAACGCGCGTGATGGCCCGGAGGGTAACAAAAATGCTCTCCCGTTGGTTGTCGTGCCCACTGTTTCCGGAGCCCTCTCGGTCCCCCCGAGCGGCGTGGGTGCGAGGCGGGAATCTTTCCATATCCACCGCCTGTGGCACCGACGTCCTGAGACCCAGCGGGCGGTGGACGTGACTTGGGCCCCAGGTGGGCACGGACATGGACATGTCCATGTCCACCGCTTCTCGGCCTCCGAAAAACGATCCTCCCGGCGGTGGTTATGCATACCGAGGCCCCCGACGTCGTGATTCTTTCACGACTTCGACTCCCAGAGGTCTCGACCCCTTCCCAGGGACCCGTTTTCCACCCTGCGCCGGTTTCCTGCAGAAAAAAAATCCTGCAAAACCTCCCGTCGTGAGTCGTTCACGGCGCGAGGGCGTCCGGGCAAATCCCCGCCCTGGAGGGGGCGCGGGGGGCGGGCGGCGCGGTCCTCGGCGGGCTCCCGCTCGCGCTCGACGCCTCCGCGCCGCGGCCGCCGTGCCTCGAGAGGGCCGCCTGCGCGGGCGCCGCCGCCGCCCCCCCCCCCCAGCGGGGCCGCGCCCGCCCCCCTCCCCCCGGCGTGCCGTCGCCGCTGCCGCGGGCGGCGCCGCCGCCTCCTCGGGGGGCCGAAGACGCCTCGGGGGACGCCAGCGCGGCACGCGTCCGTCGGAAGAAGTGCTGGGCAGAAGCATGAAGTAGGAGGGCGGACAACAGAAGGCAAACACTCCGCCCCCACACTGACCACCCCGACGAGCGAATCGAAGAAGGCATGGCTGTTCAGCAATCGCCCAGGGCCGTCTCGTAAACGCCAATTGTCCGGTCCGGGTGGCTTTTCCTCCCTTGAGGTAAAGTCGATTGGGCGCAGGCCCGCCAAGAGAACAGCAGAGGCCCCATGAAGCAGGGAGGCGCCACAAAAGTGGGCTGGGGCCTCGGCATCCGAGAAGACCTGCTTTCCACGACCGACGGGCACGGCGCACCTGGGTCCTCCGCGGATCCCTGTTCTCCTCCACCTCCTGTCGCAGCTCGCGGGGGGCCTCCCGTGCCATCTTGCGAACTCCCACCAGCGACGCTGGCCGCGGCGAATCGGCGCCGGTCGACGCCCATCGGCGCTGAGTCGACGCTGACCGATGCGAAATCGGTGTTTCCCCACCGAGCGCTGACGCACGCTATAATGCACTCAGAAGACGGAAGCGCGAGGACATGCGAGGCTCCCACGAGTTGCTGCCGAGCCCACGCTTTCTCCTTGCGCACAGCGCCTCCCCGTCGCACCCCCGAGCGTGTCGGCAGGGCGGGCCAGGCGTTCCCCCTTCTGCGACCGCCTCAGTTCTGACGATCCTCAAGGCTGCACCCTGCAACAGCTTCGCGGATGGAGGGGGGGCCGTTGTCCACATGCGCCCATCGCCTTGGCGCCGTACGCGTTCGTCTCAAACATTTGCACCAGCGTCACGAATGGACGGGGCGATGTTCGAAACATGGGGTTCTCGCCTCAGGGTCGCGCAAATTCGTGTTAAGACATTGCAGCAATTTCTCTGATTGAGGAAGTCGTTTTCAAAATGGGGCTCTCGCCTGAGCGCCGCGCACCTTCGATTTAAACCTTTGCAGCGCTGCCCCACAGATGGAAGCGGTGTTGTTTTCAAAATAGCGCTCTCGCCTTACAGCCGCGTGCATTTCCAGGACATTGTAATAGCCTCCCGGAAGAAGATACGTCTTTTTGAGAATGGGGCTCTCGCCTCAGCGCAGCGCGCATTCGTTGTTTAGCAATTTCTTGCAGGCTGGAAGGCTGCCCTTGTTCAACGTGGCGTCCTCGCCCTAGGACTTCGCCGAGTTCAACGACCCCAGGCTTCCACGCACGCAGCGCTGCGCGGATCCGTGGTGGGCTCGTTGTCAAAACGGACGGTGTCGTGTGAGACCTCCTCGAAGTTCGTGACCGCGACGGGAAGCCTGTGAATCATTTACACGGATGGGGGGACGGTCATTCCTTGACGGGGGATGACCATTGTTGTGTCGCGCGCCGAATTGCGCGCCGGAAACATGCAAGGCAATGTTTCCCCAAACCATCATGTGGAGTGGGGACCTCGTTTTGAAGAGACAGCGCCCCGCGTCTCACTCACTCCTTCCTCCTCCCCCTCCTCCCTCCTCTCATCCCTGCCTCCGCCCAGCCCTGCCTCTGCCCTCCGCATGTCAAACAGTCTGGCACACCCCTCACACGGTTCGTGGCCCCATAGGGAGCTCCACCGAAGGCCCTGGTGGCAGGGTTCGCATAGCGGCCTCGGGCCCTCTCGGCACACCCCTCATGAGGATCGTGGCCCCACAGGGAGCTTCACCGAAGGCCCCAGTGGCAGGGTTCGCATGTGGTCTCCTGCCATCTCGACGCACCCCTCACACGGCCATCTCGGCACACCCCTGACGAGGATCGTGGCCCCAGAGGGAGCTCCACCGAAGGCCCCAATGGCAAGGTTTGCATGGCGGCCTCGGACTATCTCCGCACACCCCTCACGAGCATCGTGGCCCCACAAGGAGCTTCACCGAAGGCACCAGTGGCAAGGTTCGCATGGCGACCTCGGGCCATCCCGAAAGACCTCTCACGAGGAACGTGACCCCACAGGAAGCTTCATCGAAGGCCCCAGAGACAGGGTTCGCATGGCGGCCTCGGGCGATCTCGGCACACACCTCACACACTTCGTGGCCCCGTAGGGAACTCTGCAATGGTAACGCCCGCATGCGTCCAACGCTCATTTCGGCACTCCCCACGCACGTTTCGGTGCTCCGAGCCGCGTTGCCCCGTGCTCCATCCCTCTTGCGGCTCGCTACTTCTGAACAGAGGGGCAGATCCTGCGATACTCGCAGCTACAAGCAGTAGGAACCCGACCACAAGCAACATTCCACAAGAAACGCAACCCTGAGACACCAGGACGTCACGCGTTCCATCGCAAAACCATCGACACCCAAGAAACCCAGGGCACCCTGGAGGCAAGCAGGGTGTGTCTTGGCATGGATTTCCGTTGCGTGCGAGCACATGCACCGCGCGCCGAGACTTGGGGAAACCGAAAGGTACCGATACCGCTACTCCCCGGACCTCTCCCGGGGTGCGTTCTGACCAGGATTTCGAGGCGAATCCAGCGGTGGCGACGAGGGCCTCCGAAAAGGCCCCAAAAGGGGAGAACGGGCGAGGGGTAGCGGTATCGGTATCCTTTGATTGAATCCTTCGCCAAGCTGGTTTTTCAGAGTTGGGTCCTGGCCAACATGGCAGGCCAAACTGTGCTGGTCGTTCGGGGAGGGCGGGGCGCCTCTTGCAGTGGAGAGGAGAAGGAGTCGCAGGGGCGCGTGAGGCGGTTGGCACGTGGCACGCAAGCGGGTCTTCGAAACACCGTCTGGTCGCCAGCGGCTACCGGGCCCGTGTCTTCCCCACGTTCCGGAACAAGCAGGCCTTGCGCTGCCGAAGGGGCTCACCCACGGACCCTTACGCCCATCGTGGGGACTTGCGCGCGTGCCCGTCCCGCCCACCACCCCGAGCGGGCACACGTTGGCCCAGACTGCTCGTGCCCGTGGGCGGGTGGCGCACGAGGGTTGCGCACGCTGGTCTCCCTGCCTAATCCCACCAGCCCTCCTCCGGGAAAAAGCGGTTTCGGGAATTTGTCCTCTTCCAATCCCCCATCTTCCGCTTCGACAAAAAAATGTCATCACTGTTCCTTATTCAATCCTCTTCCAATCCCCCGTCTTCCGCTTCGGAAAAGGGTTTACCACTGTTCCTTATTCATAAGCAGCAGCCATCCAGGAGCAATGGAGGCCCCCCCCCACTGTCCTTGTCAACAAAAACAGTGCAAAGTCCACTTGGGGCAACATCTTGAATCATGATCGGGGGGCGCGAGCATTTTGCACTGTTTCTTGACAGGGGCGGCGGGGGTGCCCACATACTGCCTACTGCGCGCACGGCCAGCATCTCTGTCATAAACAAAAAACAAAAATACACTTCGAGACAGAATCTGGACCATGCGCGGGCACCCCGCGATCACTGGGCATTGGTTTTTGGTTGGGACGGCGGGGGTGTTGGCGTATTGCCTGCTATGTGCAGGCCCACCATACGCTACAATGGCCACCCCGCCGCGATTGCGCACTGCTTTTCGACAAGGGTGGTGGGGGCCGACACGTTTCCCGATGTGTACCGCAACGTGCGCAGGCGCATCTGGCACATTCGGCGCGTGCCCCGAACATGGAGCACGTGGCGCAGATGGAGCATGCGGTACACATGGCGCACGTGGAGCACGTGGCGCATCCAGCGCACCAGGCGTGCCGCCCCCCTGGGGCCCCCTGCACACCCATTTGCGCTCGGGGTCGCGGCCCCGGGGGTCCCCGGGTCCGGTTCCCCGTTACATGCAGCTTTGCTAATCAGATAAATACCCACGTATTGAACAATTATCCGGCTAGACCTGCGTCCCGCTGGGAGCCGCCGGGTCCCGAGCGCGCGTAGAGGGCTCAAGACGGCTCCTGATGGCTTCCAGAGGGTCCCAAGCTGGGCCAAGAAGAGGGCTGCAAGACGCCCATGGCCCCAAGACAGTCCCAGAGGCCCCCTTCTCGCCCCAAGACACCCCAAGAGGCCTCCCAAGGGAGCCCCAGGAGGCCCAAATCGCCAAATCCCTTTTACCGTACATCAACAACTTCTCGCCTTCCCGACGCGCCAAGACGGCCCAAGACGCCCCCCAGATTGCCCCAAGACGGCCCAAAAGGCACTCAAGAGGCCCCCACGACGGCCCAAGCGGGTCCGAAGACAGCCCAAGAGGCGCCCAAAACTGCCCAAGGGGACCCCAAAACGGTCCCCGAGAGGCACCAAGAAGACCCCAAGAGACGCCAAAACAGCCCCCAAGACACCCAAAGAGGCCTCCCAAGGGAGCCCCAAGAGGCCCAAATCGCCGCAATCCCGTGGTAAAACGTACGTCTTAAGCACCAACAGCGTCTCGCCTTCCCGACGCTCCAAGACGGCCCAAGACGCCCCCCAGATTGCCCCAAGACGGCCCAAGAGGCACCCAATGGGCCCCCATGACGGCCCAAGAGGGCCCCAAGACGGCCCAAGAGGATGCAACCTATGTAATGCAATCTACGCGGCCCAATCTATGCAATGCATTCTATGTGGTGCCCAAGACGGCCCCAAAACGGCCCCCGAGAGGCACCGAGGACCCCCACAGAGTCACAGAGGCCTCCAACAGGCCCCGGCTCCCCAGGAGGCGCAAACAAATACCTCAAGAGACGCCAAAACAGCCCCCAAGAAGGGTCAAACTGCTTCCGCAAAACACCCTGCAAGCCTCTTGGCCCCCCTGGATTAGTACGGCGACGGTCAGAGAATACATGTATACACCTATATAGAGAGCCGTGTTGGAGTTATGTTGGGCTGGCACGGAGCAATCATGTGGGGGTCTCTCGGGCGGTTTTGGCGCGGTCTTGAAGCATTCCCGGGCACGATCGAAGCGTCGCAAGCTCGAGAAGGCGAAGAACCCAAACAAATGGGGAAAAAACACTGGAAAAAACAACATTTGTTGTCTGTTGGAGCCATCTGGTGCTGGGTCTTGAACTCTGTAGGAGCGGCTTCAAGGCGACTGGAGCCGTCGCTGCGGCCTCCCTGCAGCTTCTATGGGCCTCTGAAGGCCCTGGGTCGCCGCAACCCTTAAAAACGTAGGGAAAACGACACTGTGCACCCCCATTTGTGGTAGAGACCGCGGCCCCAGGGGCCCGGGCCCCGGTGCACCGTTACATGTATATATTATACTCGCGCGCGCGAGGCTTCTTGGGGGGACTCCCGGACGAAAAGTACCGCGACCAGGTCCCAGCAAGCTCGGCTCAAAGATAGTTTTCCTCCTCGGCGCTGCCTTCCAGGACTCCCAGAGCGCTCCAGGAACGCGCCAAGGCTCCGAGACGCCCGCGAGACGGTCCAAGGGGCCCCGGGTCGCCGAAAGATTGCTCCAAGACGCCCATGATAGTCTCCAGACGGCTCTAGACGCCGCCGAGAAGCTCCAAGAGAGCCCTGCATTTCTGGCAAAGATGACGTTCGGGGGTTTCACAACGTCCGAGACTGCCCAAGAGCCCCCAAAGATCGCCCCACGATGGCCAAACATGCCCCCTAGATGCGCCCAAGAGGGCTCCAATACGACCCAAGAGGGCTGCCGTCCAGGCCTCCCAGAGCGCTCCAGGAACGCGCCAAGAGGCTCCGAGACGCCCCCGAGACGGTCCAAGGGGCCCAGAGTCACCGAAAGACTGCTCCAAGACGCCCATGGTCTCCAGACGGCCCTAGACGCCGCCGAGAAGCTCCAAGCGAGCCTCAAGAGGCCCTCCGAGAGGGCCCCAAACAAGCAAAAATCGTCTCATGTCCTAAGGGAAAGGTGCATTTCTGGCATAGACGACGTTCGGGGGTGCACAGCGTCCAAGACAGCCCAAGAACCCCCAAAGATCGCTCCAAGCTGGCCCAACATGCCCCCGAGAAGCGCCCAAGAGGGCCCAAGAGGGCTCCAAGACGGCCCAAGACGGCCCCAGAGAGGGAACTCGAAATGACATTTGAAGCTTTCCCAGCAGGCTCCTCCGAGACCGCCAGCAGGCTCCCTAGAAGCACCCCAAAATCCCAAGAAGCCCCCGAGAGGCCCAAAGTCAGGCCCCCAGGGCACCCAAACGGCCCTGACGAGGCCTCAAGAAGCTTCAAAACTGCCTCCAACAGGCTTCCGCGACACCTGCCAGGAGACCCCAACACCGCCGCATCAAATGTCCCCTGCGCCCCATCAACAAGCCCCAGAGTGAGCAAACCCCCACGAAGGCACCCGAAGTCCAACAAAGCACCACACAACTAGCCGCCCCGTGAAAAGCGACCGATTCCCCTGACAACTACCAAGAAATCCTGACGAATCGCTCCAGCATCATGCACCCCGCAACGCCTCAGAAAACAGCCGACGCCCCTGCAGCTCAACACCGCCAACGACCTCTCGGCTGGTCGACGCAACAGTGCCCGAAAATGGGCCGGCGGAATGAGGGAAGCGATTGAATAACTTCATGTAGCGGCCATGCAGGGACACGCGTCGCGCGCACACGCTGACCGCAGGCGCCACCTGTCCACGCAGCGATCACATCGTGCCCCGCGTGCAGGCTGCGTGCACGTGCGGACCGATCGTGGCCTGCACGAGCACGCGTAACAGACTTGACGACATCCCAGCCCAAGCAGCACAGCAGGAGCTCGACCACAAGAAAGCGTCCACGAGAAACCCAACCCTGGAACCCCAGGGCTTATGTTGCTCCCATCGCACTTGAGGACCGCATCCCACAAATAATTTCGAGCACCCAGAAGTTGTCGAAAGAGTGTCGAAACAGTGTCGGACGAGTGTCTCCCAGGGCCCGACGCGCGAAAACACTAGACTTTCGGCACTTGTTTGGGTGCTCGAAGTTGTTTCTGGTGATCTAGGCTAAAGTAGGTTGGAACATCATAACCCAGGGCGTCCATTGGTTCTTGGTGTGAGAGCGAGGCGCTCTCCCTGGCAAAACCGTCGAAACTCAAAGCAACCCAGGGCACCCTGGAGGCAAGCAGAGTGTCTCTTGGCATGGACTCCCGCTGCATGCGAGCACATGCATATGTACGGTCGGGCATGTCCCCCTACAGGCGGAAGTTGGAAGGACAAAATTAAGATGGTAAAAAAATACTCCAAAATGGTCCACACATCGTCCCCAGACTGTTTTTTTTAAACTATTTTTGAATATTCCTCCTGTAGACGGACACGCCCGACTCAACACATGCACCGCGCGCCGAGAACGGCCTCCTTCTTCTTCGCCATCCAGTCCCTGTGGCTCGCGGTCCCGTCGTCGCCCTCCCAGACGCTGTCCGAGCTCACGGGGTGCCTCTCCTCCTGCCGGCGGGCTGCGATACGCACACCAGAAGACATCGCCCACACCTTGGCATCCGCCAACCCCTCCGGGGCCTCCAGACGTGTAGGATTCGTCCCCGGAACGGCCCCGAGTGCCCCCAGAGCAGCTCGGGGATGGCCCCGAAGAGCCCCGAGCCCGCCCCCCAAAGAAGCAAGACGACACAAGTACGCCCCAAGACAGCAATAGGAGGTGACACACCTTGACACGGGCGCCGGCCGCTACCGCTACTCTCCACAGGCACAAATCCAGCTGAAAGGCGCAAATCAAGTGCAACTGCAGAGCTCACCGGTAATGCGGAAGAGGCACGGCTTACCAAACACATCAAACATGCACATGTTGTTTTCTGGTGCGCGGCCTGCGGGAGTGCTGGCGTTGGCCTTCTAGGGGGCACAACGCCTACCCAACACGCGTCCTAGAGACGGGGGTCGACGAATGGCCGCATGCCCATCCCAGTCCACGCCGCAAGAGCGAGAGCAGGAAGGAAAGAGTGAAGGGGAGTCATGAAGGGAGGGAGGAGGGGGTAAGGAAGAACAATCAACGGTTCATGAGAAGGTGGAGAGAGAAAAGGGATCAGAGAATGGCAAAGCGAAGCTGTGTAACAGAAACACATGAGGGAGATAAGTCGGAGCAAACGTATTACCGAATCTGGTTAATAGTGGGAAGCAGAGGAACATAAGGAAGGGAACCAAGGGCAGGAATGGGACAAAGGAGCACGATGAGGTAGGAACGAGGGCAAGGAGGAGGAAGAAAAATGGGCAGAAGCGGAAGAGAGCCCGAAGAGAGAGGGGGATGAGAAGGGAGGAAAAAGAGGCGGACGAGGAGGAGGGGGAGGAGATGGAGAATGATGAGGCAAGGATCGATGGAAGAAGGGGGGCAGGGAAGGAGGGGGGGGGGGGGGGGGGGGGCGATCGTCGAGGGAAGAAGAGCATGGGGTAGAGGGGGGATGCGCGGGAGGAGTACAGGCCGGTCGACTGGAGCGCGTCAGTTGTCAGGCTGTGCTGCAGAGTCAACGCGCCCTGCGGCTGGGCCCCTGAAGAGGAGGATGGAGTAGAGGGGGGGATGTGGGGGGAGGATGGGCCGGTCGCCTGGAACGCGTCAATCCCTGAGATCCTGGCGCCTGAGGAAAGAGGAAGAGGGGGGAGAGGAAGGGGAGGATGAGAAGGAGGAGGAGGGGGAGGAGGAGGAGGAAGGAGAGCGGCTGGACTCCCGCATCTAACATCGGCGGCGTACCGCGTCCGCCTCGGTCCGACGGGGGGCAGAATGGGAACCCTGTGGCTGACGCGACCGGCTGGGCGAGCAGCAATCAGCGGCGGGGCGCGCATCGCCAGCCACTCGAGAAACGAACTCCTCTAGCATCTCCGCCTGGCGTTCCGCGGCCGGTGCAGGCCAGCGCAGAGCTTCCTGCGCGGGCTGGCGAAACGGCGGCCCGCCTGGGGCGACACTAAAGCATGCGAGCGGCGAAGGGTGAAGGAGGAAAGGAGGACTGAAGGAAGGAGGAGGGGGCGGGGGGCGCTTTCGCATGGCGTCGCGCCGAACCAGCGTGCCCCAGACCGCCCGAAGAAGGGGAAACAAAATCGCTCTCGACGGGCGTCGAGCTGAACCCGGCGCGCCTCACCGCGCCTCAGCAGGAACACGCGCTACGCAATTTGTTGGGAGGGGGTGCGAAAAAGCGTCCGAAAGCACCGAACCTCGAGAATTCGTCCCCCACCGCTGAGCCCATCCCCGCCCCCCTTGCCCATCGACGACGACGCCGACGACGACGAAGACGACGACGACGACGGCGGCGGCGAAATAGGAGGGACAACGACGAGACGCCGACGACGGACGACGACGACGACGACGACGAGGGAGGAGGAGGGACGACCACGGCGACAACGACGACGGAAACGATGACGACGCCAAAGAGGACGACTACGGCGACGACGGGGAAACACGGGCTGATCGGTCGGAAGCAGTTGGTAGAAATATGGAGTAGGCAGGCGTTGGGAACAGATCGGGTCTCCGCCCGCCCCCCGAAAGAGGGAGGAAGACGGACAGCCGCTCGACTATGGAAGCAGGACAGCGCCTAAAGCAGATTGGGATCTGGATATCCCGACATACATACCTCGAACGACCGACCTGTACCTAGAGACCTCCTAGATGGGGTCGGAGTAGATGGGGTCGGAGGATCGCGCCGCATCGCCGATACATCGGCGATGCATCGGCAATGCATCGGCGATGCACCGGCGATGCACCGGCGATGCATCGTCGACGTGGGCAATGCATCGGCGGGCGATGCCTCGGCGATGCGGCGCGATGCCCCGACCCCATCTACTCGGACCCCATCTAGGAGGCCTAGAAAGAAGGCGCCCACAATAGATTGGGACCCCGGCATCCCAAAATACATACTTTCAACGACCGACCTGCATTTAGCAGGGACCGACCGTCCAAGCATTCTTAAAGGCCTACCAAGACATGTTCTTAGAACCCACAATGTTCTTAGAACATAAACCCGATGTGATGAAACAAGACAATCCCAGCCAGAAATGCTCCGAGAACATCCCGAGGAGACCACAAAGAAAGGTTCCCAGAACATTGCCTGGCAGGCCTCTGGGCACGCCAGGACGCTCCGCCACTGCTCGACTGTACCGCTGCCTCTGCAGAGGACTCCTCGGCCGCACCCGCACGCCCCCCCTGCTTGACTGCACCGCTGCCTTTGCAAAGGACCCCTCGGCCGCACCCGCACGCCCCCCCCCCCCCCCCCTCTCCACCGACACCGACACCTTTCGGGGAGACGCAAGACTCGGGTACGGGGGACCCGGGTCGGCCCGACGGGGGCACCACGAAAACGACGAGGCCGACCCGAAACTCGACGCGGGCCCCCCGCAGCAGACGCCCCACGAAAGCGCGACCGTCAAAACCCAGGACCCGCTCGTAAAGAAACGCCGGCAAACCGCAAGATCTGGCTTACTCGAGTCTTACGTTGGGCGCCCGAGTTATCCGGGGTAACTCGGGTCCGGGGTAACTCGGGCTTGGATTCCCGAAAAAAGAACCCGAGTTATCCCTGACCCGAGTTACCCCTGATGATTCTGGGGCTCTGGACGCCCGAGTTATCCGGGGTAACTCGGGTCCGGGGTAACTCGGGCTTGGATTCCCGAAAAACGAACCCGAGTTATCCCTGACCCGAGTTACCCCTGATGATTCGGGGCTCTGATTACGTTTCCCCGAACCTTGGGCGGCGGCCCGTCCTCGCTGCTGCCCGCGCCCGGCGCCACGGTGACGGCCCTGGCCAGCCCTGCGCCTCGGGGGGGGGGGCGCCGCCGGGCGGGCGGGGGCCCTCCGTCGACGCTCGCCGCGGCGGCGAGCGACGGGGGGGGAGCGAGGATTCAGGAGGCACCTGCTGGGAGGTCCTCGTCGGAAAAGTTCAGGAGGATTGAGCCCTATTGTAGAGGAAAGAGAACTATGCACATGCACCGATTCTGGCCAGGCCCATCCTGAGCCCAGGATCGGTGCATACGCCCTCCTGCCTTGGCCAGGAGGGCATATGCACCGATCCTGGGTCAAGGATGGGCCTTGCCAGGATCGGTGCATGTGCATAGTTCTCTTCGCCCGATATTGCGGGGCTGTTACGCCGGAGTTGACCTCGGATTAAGCGGGACTCAGCCAGATGAAGCGGGATGAAGCGGCATCAAGCTAGATGAAGCGGAATTAGGCCGGATGAAGCTGGATGTCGGACCAGGGCAAAATCAGCAGTTGACCTCCCAGGAGTTGCACCCGACGAGAGTAGAGGCCTCCTAAATGTAGGTCGGACATGTCCTCCTACAGGGGGATTTTGGACGACAAATAAAAGATAGTCAAAAAATATACTCCCCAGATGACCAAACGTAATCAAAAGATAGTCCCCGTACTATGTTTTGACTAGTTTTGAATATTCCTTCTGCAGAGGGACGTGCCCGACTTAGTCTTAGATGGCGTCAGAGCAGATGGGGTCGGAGGATCGCGCCACATCGCCAAGGCATCACCGAGATACCGGCGATGCGCCGGCGATGCCTCGGCGACGTCGGCGATGCATCGGCGTCTTCCGCGCCAGGAAACACGGGCTCCAGATCGACCCGCATCGGCGATGCATCGGCGAGGCGGCGCGATCCTCCGGCCCCATCCACTCCGAAGCCATCTGGGAGGCCCGGAGAGAAGGAGCAAGCTGCCTGGGAAGGCGGCGGGGGCTTCTCAGAAGCCCCCCCCGCGCCTTCCGAGGAGGTTTCCGCGCCTTCGGTTGGGTCGGGCCTGTCCCCCTACACGCAGATTTTGGACGAAACTTATTTATTTATTTTTATATATATATATATATATATATACATATTTATATATATATAGAGATAAGCGAAAAAATACCCAAAACATTGTCAAACATATCCACAAAATCGTCCCCTGACTATTCTTCACTATTTTAGAATCTTCCTCCTGTAGAGGGACAGGCCCGACTTCAGCCTTCCGAGAAGGCCCGTCCCCTCCCGCTTCCCCCCCGGGCTCGCCGCCGATGCTCCGGAAGCGTGCTGCCCGCTACACGCAGAGAGTGACCCTCTGGGCACGAGGGACCCCCTGGTGCGCGGATCGTCAGGGCGTGAGCCGATGGGGCCAGGCTCAGGTCGGGCGTGTCCCCCCTGCAGGTGGATTTTGGGCCAATCATGAAAAGTACTACAAAAAAATATGCCGAAAGTGCTCGAGAATAGTCAACACATCGTCCCCAGACTGTTTTTCGACTATTTTTGAATATCCCTCCTGTAGAGGGACAGGCCCGACTTAACTCTAGGCACGAGGGACCTCTGGTGCGCGGATCGCGAAGGCGGGAGCCGAGGGGCCAGGCCACAGCGCGCAAGCCACTGTTGTCGCAGCGCGCTGGGCGAACGAGAAGCCCCAGTGGGCCCGCACCAGCGGGCACTCTGGCGAAAGGTCACTCTTCCCTGTGGTCGGTGTGAGCGCCACCGCGTGCTTGTCCACCGGGGCCATCCAATACTACGACGCAGGCGACGTAACGATCTGCCGGTGAGGCTGCACGGGGTAACACACACACACACACACTCAGGCTGGGCGAAGAAAGCGCGCCGATGGACCTGACGACGACGACGACGACGACGACGACGACGACGACGACGACGACGACGACAGCTGGGCGATGAAAGCACGTAAATCCGCTCAAAATCGGTTGCCCGACCTGTCCTGGGGCCCATCTGGTGCAGTTTTTCATCTCGGATTCCTTTTTGACGGTCCCCGAACCCGAAAACGGCTCCCAGAGGCCGAGAAAAACACTAATTACCCGAGACGTACCCAAACCCCTCCCCAAGCGAGGCGAATATTGGCCTGAACGCTCCATACGAAAGAACACATCGCCAGATATGCACGATCTGCGCTGCCCTCACCTCAGCCGTGCCTCCCAGGGGCCTGCGATGGTGGCGACACTTGCGCACTTCGCAGCCTCCCAGGGAACCGCGAGGTCTCGGCTGGACCGATGGGTCCCCGACCCCACTGGATCTCCCACTCCAGCGAAGACTGGGACAACCCAGGCACCCACGAACGCTCTCGCCGAGGCGCAGCTGCCGACAACCAGCCCGATGCCGAAAAAAATCAAAAAGGACCAACGAAGAGGCCCGAAAACCTTCTCGCGTTGCTTCTAGCCTCGGGTCACGTAGCTCGCCTTAAGGAACTTGTCGGCCTTCTGCGCCTGAATCGAGACGCCATCCTTCGTTGATCGTGCGCGCGGGCAGTGGCCCCAACGAAGGATGGCGTCTCGATTCAGGCGCAGAAGGCCGACAAGTTCCTAAAAACGAGCTACGTGACCCGAGTCCAGGAGCAACGCGACGTCGTCGTCGTCGCCGTCGTCAATATCGTCGTGGTCGTCACCGTCGGCGTCACCGTCGTCGCCATGTTTTGTCGTCGTCGGCGTTGCAGTCGCCACCGCCGCGGCCGCCGCCGCCGTCGTCGTGTTCGTCGTCGTCGTGGTCATCATCGTTGTCACCACCGTCGTCGTCGTCCTCGTCGCCATCGTCGTCGTCGTCGTCGTCGTCCACGCCGCCGCCGCCGCCGCCGTCGTCATCGTCGTCGTCGTCATCATCATCGTCGTCGTTTTCCGTCGTGGTCGTCGTAATCGCCGTCGCCGCCACCGCCGCCGTCGCCGTCGTCGTCGTCGTCATCGTCGTCGTTTTCTGTGGTAATTGCTGTTGTCGCCAACGCCCTCGTCGTCATCGTCATCGTCGTCGTCGTCGCCGCCACCGACACCGCCGCCACCGCCGTCGTCGTCGTCGTGATCGTCGTCGTCGACGTCGTCGTCGCCTTCAATCGTCGCGGTCGTCGACTTCCGTCGTCGTCGTCGCCGCCCCCGCCGTCGTCTTCCGTCGTCGTGGTCGCCGCCGGCACCGCCGCCACCGTCATCGTCGTCGTCGCCAACGTCGTCGTCGTCGTCGCCGCCAAGGCCGTCGTCGTCGACGTCGTCAGCGTCGTCATCGTGATCGCTGTCGTCGTCATTGTTGTCGTCGTCCGTCGTCGTCGTGCTTGCGGTCCCCGCCACCGTCGGTCTCCGCCGTCGTGGTCATCGCCACCTTCGAAAGTATCACCGTCGTCGTCACCGTCGTCGTCGACACCACCCCCGCCGCCGCGGCCGCAGCCGCCACCACCGCCGTCGTCGTCGTCGTCGTCGTCGTCGTCGCCGTCGTCGTCGGCATCTCCGCCGCCGCCGTCGTCGTCGTCGTCGGCGTCGACGTCACCGCCGCCGACGCAGTTGTCACGGTGGCCAGCGTCGTGTACGCCGTCGTCGTTGTTGTCGTCGTCGGGGTCGTCGTCGTCGTCGTCGTCGTCGTCCTCGACGTAGTCGTCGTCGTGGTCGTCGTCGTCGCGTTCCGTCGTCGTCGCCGCCGCCGCCACCGCGGTC